TCCTCGGGATTTTGCACATGCACGCGCACATGCCCAGCATGACTTTCAAGCTACCTTGTCTGGGACTCAAACCAAGATCAGCCATGTGGGAGTCCAGCACCTTAACTACCACGCCACCTACTGCCCCCACTCCAGTCTCCCCTTTTAAAAATAGTAAAAAAAATGAGACTTGTTTCTGAGAGGAACACGGGAAGTTTTCAGAATATGGTTTAGGTTTTATAATGTGAGGAGTAGGACTTTCTTCCTTGTTTTAGGCTATCTAAGGGTAGTCAGTTGACATATGTGCAAAGCAATAATGTCGATAGGATTGACTTCATGAAGAAATGCACTATGGTTTGGGGGACATAAGCTCTTTGCAAACTGCTGCCCTTTGTAGATAATCCTGTTTCTGCTAATCTACACATCACAGGGCGTTTGGGTTAAGTTGTTTTTCTTTCTTTTTTTCCTCTTTTTTTTTTTTTTGTTCTTATTTATTTATTTAATTATTTGGGGGGAGGCTTTTGCTATATGGCCTGTGCACTCACCGAAAGACAGAGAGAGACAGAAAGCGAGAAATCATCCCCCAGGGGGGATGGCCACGCCGCAGTCCCTTCTCCTCCATTCTCCTCTTGGGCTCTTGGGCACACATGCATGCATGCCCGGTGTGAGTTTTAAGCCACTGGGTCCGGGACTCAAACCACAGTTGACTACATGGGAGTCCAGCAACATAGCTATCAATGCCAGTTGCTGGTCCCCGTTCTTATTTTTTTAATTTAAATTAATTTTCTCTTTTTAATACTATTATTAATACATCAAATCACTATACATCATTTAGACTGTAAAGAGATTTTACCCGACGTGATATATGCCACACACCAGGCAAGTTGAGAGTACTATACATGACATCATCAACAGACAACATATCATATCTGTGTCCCACAAATGTCTTACTTCTCCATTTTCCCCCTAGATTTTCCTTCCTGCACTCTTCCCCCTCCCACTCTCCTTTCACTTTGTCCCCAGTGTCCCTAACAATTTTCAGTTTTTCATTCTCAATCGTGATATATGCCACACACCAGGCAAGTTGAGAGTACTATACATGACATCATCAACAGACAACATATCATATCTGTGTCCCACAAATGTCTTACTTCTCCATTTTCCCCCTAGATTTTCCTTCCTGCACTCTTCCCCCTCCCACTCTCCTTTCACTTTGTCCCCAGTGTCCCTAACAATTTTCAGTTTTTCATTCTCAATCATAGAGTGTAGACAGTCAGTATATGTTAAGTGGAGACATACAGTGTCTCTTTTATAGCCTGACTTGGTTTACTCAGCAGTAAATCTTCCATGTTCGTCCACTTTCTATCAAATGCCAGGGTCTTGTTCTTTTTTATGGCTAAACAGTATTCCATGGAGTATATGTGCCACATTTTTTTTTTGAGAAGTTTTTGCTATAGGGGAACCAGCAGTTAGCATAATGGCTATGTCGCTGGACTCCCACGTAGTCGACCGCGGTTCGCGTCCCAGACCCGGTGGCTTAGAACTCACGCCGGGCGCGTGTGCGTGTGTGCCCAAGATCCCGAGAGGAGAATGGAGGAGAAGGGATTGCGGCGTGACCATCCTCCCTGGGGGGTGATTTCTCACTTTCTGTCTCTCTGTCTCTCTCTCTCTCTCTGTCTGTCTGGCGAGCACATGCGCTCTATAGCAAAAACCTCTCAAAAAAAAAAAAAAAGATTTTGCTATAGTACACATGCACTCGCCAGAAAGGCAGAGAGAGACATAGAGACAGAAAGCGAAAAATCACCCCCCAGGAAGTTGACCACACTGTAGTCCTTCTCCCGCATTCTCCTCTCGGGGCCTTGGGCACACATGCACATGCGCCCGGCGTGAGTTTAAGCCACCGGGTCCGGGACTTGAACCGCGGTTGACTACATGGGAGTCCAGCGACATAGCCATTACGCCAACTGCTGGTACCGCTCCACCAGTAGTTTGTCTTAGGTTTAGATCCTTCATCTACTTTGAGTTGATTTTTGTTAATGGTGACAGATAGGGGTTCAGATTCATCTTTCTGCAGGTGGATACCCAGTGTTTCCTGCACCATTTTATACAGAGGTTTTCCTTTTCTTGCTAGATTGACTGGTACCCTTTGTCAAAGATCAGTTGGCTGTATGTTTTGGGGCTTGTTTCTGGGGTCTCTACTCTGTTCCATTGGTCCTTGTGTCTGTCTTTGTGCCAGTTCCTTGCTGTTTTGATTATCACAGCTTTGTATTATATTTTGGGGTCAAGAAATGAGATGGCACCCATTCCACTCTTTTTGTGTAGAATTGCTTTGGCAATATGGAGTCTTTTATGATTCCAGACAAATTCTATGATTGTCTTTTCTAGATCTGTGGAGAATGTCTCTCATAATTTTATAGGGATTGCATTAAATATGTAGATTAATTTGGGTGAGTTGCCATTTTGATTACATTAATTTCCCCAGTCCAGAAATATGGGATGTGCTTCCACTTTTTTGTGTCATGTTCAATTTCTTTTTTAAGGTTCTCATAGTTTTCCTTATAGAGGTCTTTCATTTCCTTGGTTAGTTTTACTCCTAGGTATCTTATACCTTTTGTGGCTGTCGTAAATGGAATTACTTTCTTCAGTTCTTTCTCTGTTCTTGTTTGTATATAGAAATACAATAGATTTTTGTAAGTTAATTTTTTTAAGAGGTTTTTGCTATAGGGCACGTGCGCTGGCCAGACAGACCGAGAGGGACAGAGAGACAGAAAGCGAGAAATCACCCACCGGGGGGATGGTCGCATGGCAATCCCTTCTCCTCCATTCTCCTCTCGAGGAAAGAAGAGTTGAAATTATCTCTGTTTGCGGATGACATGATGGTATACATCGAAGACCCAATAATATCCACAAGGAAACTCCTCTAAGTTGGGACCAGCAGTTGGTGTAATGGCTATGTCACTGGACTCCCATGTAGTCGACCACGGTTCATGTCCTGGACCCGGTGGCTTAAACTCATGCCAGGCGCGTGTGCGTGCGTGCCCAAGATCCCGAGAGGAGAATGGAGGAGAAGGGATTGCGGCGTGGCCATCCCCCCTGGGGGGTGATTTCTTGCTTTCTGTCTCTCTGTTTGTCTTCCTGGCAAGCACACGTGCCCTATAGCAAAAACCTCTCAAAAAAAAAAAAAAACTTCTCCAAGTAATAAATGCATACAGTAAAGTGGGAGGATAAAAAATTAACTTAGGGGACCAGCAGTTAGCGTAATGGCTATGTCACTGGACTCCCATGTAGTCGACCACGGTTCATGTCCTGGACCCGGTGGCTTAAACTCATGCCAGGCGCGTGTGCGTGCGTGCCCAAGATCCCGAGAGGAGAATGGAGGAGAAGGGATTGCGGCGTGGCCATCCCCCCGGGGGATGATTTCTCACTTTCTGTCTGTCTCTATGGTGAGCGCTCGTGCCCTGTAGCAAAAAAAGGAGAGAGAGAGAGAGCGAGAGAGAGATGGAAAATAGTACCTGGCCAAAGCAGCCCTCTGTACTCCCAGCCGCCACTCCTGAAGCAGGGCGCTGGCCCCGTGGGCTTTGCTCAGCCATGGGAGGGTCTGCGTGCCTGCCTTGTCTTTGCAGCGGGCTTCTGTCGCCACCGCATCCCACCCCTGTCTTGATGTCCCTCGTACATTTGCTTTAATTTGGTGAATCTCGTACTGAAAGATACGGATTTCCTCAGTGTGCCGTCGGTGGGTTTCGATGGTCTCTACCCGTGACCTTCATTTCAGCTGGAAGTACCCCTCTCGCCCCACCTTCATGCCACCCCATAGCCCGTTACTACCAAGAAGGATGTCTCATCGTGGTGACCGCTTCTCTTATGCATAATATGGAGAATATTTATAGATTTGGAAGAGAAAACATAGCTCAGTAAGGCAGAGTATGTGTTTACAAATACACCAGACATCACAATATAAAATCAATGTTGAATAGGTGGCATTCTTTTTATTTTTTAGGTTTTTGCTGTAGGGTGTGTGCACTCCTCGGGGAAATATGGAGAGAAACAGTGAGAAGGAAGGTGAGAAATCACCCCCCCCGCCCCCGCAGGGATGGCCATGCCACAGTCCCTTCTCCATCCTCCTCTTGGGACTTTAAGTACACATGCACACACGCACACACACCTGGCATGAGTTTTCATGCCACCAGGTCCAGGACTTGAACTATGATCAGCTATGTGGGAATCTGGCGCCCTAACCACCATGCCATCTGCTGGTCCCATGTATTCCATTTCTGTACACGTTCTGCCTTTCTGTAGCCTTTCGAATTTAGATCCCAGCGTTTTACCCCTGCCCCCGTCCCCGCTGCAGCGATGCTGTCTTCTGGCCGGTAAAGCCCGTTTCTGACCGTTCGCTAGTGCGACAGCGAGGAGAACCAAGGGCACTTAGCCACCCCCAGGCAGAAGCAGAGGCCAGGCCTGTGATTTGGTGGATCTGCGGCTTCTGAGCACTAGAGAAATGGAATTTCCGTGGTCAGATTTCAGAAGAGAAACATGAAGCGTCTCCTGCCATAGGACCTCAGAGGGGGCTCCGTGCTGAGGGACTCCGTGGGGCTGTCCGCACTGAGACGGCCCTTCCCTTTGCTCGCTCTGCTGTACCACGGACCACATGGTGGCTCCTCGCTGAGCCAAGGGTGTGGTAAGATCTTTTTCATAGTGAAAGCAGGTAAGCCTTGCCTTCTCTCAGGCCAGCAGGTGGCGAGGTTAAAGCAGTTGGATCCCGTCTGGCCAGATGCATGGTTCAAGTCCCAGACCTAGTGGCTTGAAAATCAGTCCGGGACAGTGTGCGTGTGTGCCCAGAATCCCAAGAGGAGGAGAATGGAGAAGTGATTGTGGTGTGGCCATCCCCCGAGGGGTGATTTCTCGCTTTCTCTCTGCCTCCCTGTCTGTCTCTGGTGAATGCATGCACTCTACAGCAAGCTGAAAAAAAGACAAAAAGAAAAACAAAAAAAATGAGGAAAATCTTGCCTTCTCTGCTGACATAGGGCAACGAGAGTGGAGCCACGAGAATTCCAGAAAGGTCGGGACGTGCACCCCTGCTGCATCCTCGTCGCGTGCTCCTCGACACCTCCCCTCCCGGGGGCCTTTCCCACTCTCCCGTGCAGATTTTCGGCGCCCGTGGCCAGCCACCAAGCGTCCTCCTGAGTTCCCGAGGAAGCGTTCGGTCGCAGGTTTGCAGATGTCGTAGGCACAGGATGTTTCATTTTGCCTGCTCACTGGCCTGCACGCGTGGCCTCAGCGTATGAAGCAGCTTCTGTCCCCAGTGTCGGGGACAGCCTACTTACGTAACAGGGCAGGCCTCGGGGTGACGCCGAGGCCGCGTCAGTCGTGTCTGGCCGTGGATGTGCGGTCGGAGGGCACCACCCGAGCACCCCCCCCTCCCGCCACTGCCCCATCAGAAGCCGATGTCCTGCCCCCACCCTGTAACAGGGCAATGATCACTTTCTACCATTAGAGGATTCCAAAAATTAGCAAAGGGAGCTATTTCCGGAACAGCTTTAAGGAGAAAAACGATGATGTGGTTTTAGTGAACCGGGGACAGTGTGGACCTTGAGTGTGTCACAGGTCGCTTTCAGTCCGTTCTCCTCGCTGTCCTGTCTCCGCTCTGTAATCCTCTAAATCCCCTGCCTAATGCCAGGTTGTCAGGGTGGCCTTGGGGATCTGCCTGCCACGGTCTGTGGGTTCGGGGAGGGCAGAGCTGCGGGCTGAGGGTCCTGCCTCTGTCCTCTAAGAGGAGACAGTAATAGTCTTGCTTCCAAGTGATTCTTCACGCTTGGCCTCCTAGCTCGTTTTCTGTATGTCTGCAGCGTAAACCGTATTTATGCCACGTCAGGGGGGCAGTGCCTGTGGAAGAGAGGGGAGAACCCTCACAGAACAGGAAGAGCCCACTAATAGGCTCTTGTATCACTTTGTTTCTTTTATAAGTCTTTTTTAAAATTATTTTATTTATTTATTTTTATTTGATTTGGCCAGACACACACACATATACACAGAGGAAGTGAGAAAGCAAGCCGCTAGGTCCAGACTTGAACCCTGGTCAGCCATGTGGGAGTGTCCAACACCTTATCCACGATGCCACCTGCTGGCGGGTTTTTTAGTTTTTGGTTTTTTTTTCCTAGAACACATGCACTTGCCGGAGATACAGACGGCCAGTGAGAGGGAAAGCGAGAAATCACCGCCCCCGGGGGATGGCCACCCCTCCGTCCCTTCTCCGTTCTCTGTGAGGATTTTAGGCGCACACATACATGCTCCTGGGGTGACTTTCAGGCTGGCTTTTCCAGGACTCATGCTGTGACGGGCCCTGCGGGATCCAGCTCCTTAGCCACCGTGCCACCTGCTGGCCCGGTTTTGTTCAGGCCCGTTCTTAATCAGGTCACAGACCCTGGATTTCGGAGCAGGAGAGACCGTCGTGTGACTGTCCTTACCAACTGCAGGTTACGCTCAGTCAGAGGGTACTGCTGGAATGAGGAAGAAAACGTTTGGGGAGGAAATGGGAAGAACGGAATGATTACCCAGTAGCTGGTTTGCGAGACAGCTTGTATTATCCAGCGCGTGGAAGCTGCGGCACGCCGTCCTCGGGCCAGCGCCTCAGCCTGGCACTGATGCCCTTGGTCTAGAAAAGCCGGGTCCTGCCTGGCAGCTATGGTTCCGATCCCCACCCAGTCAGCCTGAGACGCAGGGCACACACAGGAGTGGCCGGGATTCAGCAGACCGGAGGGACTGCAGGAAGGGACTCGTGGGGTGACCGGACCCTGTGGAGGGCGAGTGCTCCTCTCTCTCTTGCACACATGAATAAAGACAACTTTTTAAAAAGAAAAATGCTGTCGTCACAGGGGATTAGGAGTAACCACGTGGCCCTTTGCCGTGGGTAAGGAAGACGGTCTAACGTGCCCTGCGCAGTGGCGATGTTCCATAGACCGTGCTTACTCTGTCCGCTCTCATCGTGCTCCGTGTCGATGCTTCCCAGCTGCCTCACATGGGGATTCTAATATTTGCTTAGTATTCAAAATAGGTTTAAAATAAGCAACTATCGGGACCAGCAGTTAGCGTAATGGCTATGTCGCTGGACTCCCATGTAGTCGACCGCGGTTCGAGTCTCAGACCTGGTGGCTTAAACTCATGCTGGGCGTGTGTGCGTGCGTGCCCAAGATCCCGAGAGGAGAATGGAGGAGAAGGGATTGCAGCATGGCCATCCCCCCTAAGGGGTGATTTCTCGCTTTCTGTCTCTGTCTCTCTCTGTCTGTCTGGCAAGCGCACATGCCCTGTAACAAAAAACCTCTCAAAAAAAAAAAAAAAAAAAAGCAACTATCAGGAATTAAGTGAAATTCGATTTTATAAAATACCAATCCTAGTTCCTTTTGAAAGTGATAAAGCCAGCCATCTCTGAAATGGGTGCTGAGGAGACCATAAAACATGTCTAGAAATAGTGGTAGTTACTCGTGTATAGTAACATGGTCGTATTTCCTTTTAAGATCTGATGTGCTATTTTAAGATTTTTACTATATCTGTAATCCTTTATGAATAGTTCATCCTTGAATATGTAGAAATAATGTAAATAAGAACAGGACTGATCTTAGAGTTGACCTTCCTTTGAAGCAGTTTATAGTACGTTGGAAATCCAGACAGCACCAGGTCTGGCCTGCAGTTGCTTAATATATATATTTTTTTACATGAGGGGACAGGGGTGTGGTGGTGTCTGCCCTATGGCAAAAATGAGGGGCTGGCATGTGGCGTGATGGTTAAGGGTGCTGGATTCCCACATGGCCAACCGCAGTTCAAATCTTGATCCTAGTGGCTTGCTTTCTCTCTTTCCCTCTTTCTCTGTCTCCCTCTCTGGTCACATTAAAATAAATAGAAATAAATAAATAAAGTTAAATAAAATAACTCTTTAAAAAAATGAATGTGGACCAGCAGTTGGCACAATGGCTGTCTCTGAACTCCCATGTAGTTGACTGAGGTTCGAGTCCCAGACCCGGTGGCTTAAACTCATGCCGGGCGTGTGTGCGTGCGCGCCCGCCCAAGATCTCAAGAGGAGAATGGAGGAGAAGGGATTGTGGCATGACCATCCCCTCTGGGGGGTGATTTCTCGGTTTCTGTCTCTCTGTCTCTCTGTCTTTCTGGTTAGCGCACAGGCCCTATAGCAAAAACCTCTCAAAAAAATAAAAAAAAGAAAGAAAAGAAGAAGAATGACCATGCTTGGCGCCCTAGCACAGCGGTTAAGCTCTGTACCCAGGGATCTGGATCCCCTGTGGGCTCCTACAAGATAAAGCCTGGCCCCAGAGGCTTGAAAAAAAAACGGGGGGGGGTAGCGTGGTAGTGAAAGGCAAGAGACTGTCACGTGGCTGAGCGTGGTTCAAGTCCTGACCCCAAGACTTGAAAAGTCACGCTGGGCATGTGTTTCCATGTGCCCAAAATCCCGAGAGGAGAAGGGATTGTGGCGTGGCTGTCCCCTCTAGGGGAAAATTGCTCACTTTTCCTCTCTCTGGAATGTGCATGAACCTGGCAAAAAACAACAGCAACAAAAAAGCCAGGTGTGTGTGTCGGTGCCCCAAACTTGCCAGGATGGAGAAATGGAGGGAAAGGGACTGTGGCGCGACACGCCCCATCGAGGGGTGCACATGCGCTTTCTCCCCGGTGAGTATGCGTGCCCTCTTGCAATTAAAAAATTAAATGAGTGAACAAAAATACTAACGTCATTTTAAAGACGAATGACAATTGCTAAATAATGAGGAATCTTTGAACATCAGAAGAATAACTCGTACAGACTGTTTTATATTTGATCAAATGGGAGAAATAGCACAAAGTGGCAGGTAAATGTTCAGACTGAGAAGTCGGTAGAAAATGGAGTACATGATTTGCACTTTAATATCAAGAGATAATAAGGGCCAGGACCAGCAGTTAGCGTAATGGCTATGTCACTGGACTCCCACGTAGTCGACCGCGGTTCACGTCCCGGACCCGGTGGCTTAAACTCACACCGGGCGCGTGTGCGTGCGTGCCCAAGATCCCGAGAGGAGAATGGAGGAGAAGGGATTGTGGCGTGACCATCCCCTCTGGGGGGTGATTTCTCACTTTCTGTCTCTCTGTCTGTCTGGCGAGCGCACGTGCCCTATAGCAAAAACCTCTCAAAAAAAAAGAGATAATAAGGGCCCAGCAGGTGGCATGGTGGTTAAGACGCTGAACTCCCACATGGTTAACCGCAGCTGGAGTCTTGGACCTGGCGGCTTGCTTTCTCGCTTTCTCTCTCCCTGTTTTTCTAGTAAGTGCACATGTCCTGTAGCAAAATTTAAAAAATAATAGTGAGACCAGCAGGTGGCATGGTGGTTAGGTGCTGGACTCCTGTCTGGCTGAGCACAGTTCCAGTTCCACACCTGGCAGCTTGACCTTGCTCCAGGCACATGTGCGTGTGTGCCCAAGATCTCAGGAGGAGAGTGGAGGAGGAGGGGCTGCAGTGTGGCCGTCCCCCTGGGGGTGATTTCTCACTTGCTCTCTTTCTGTCTCTTCAGTGAGCACACATGCCCTATAGGAAAAATATTTGTCCAAAATAATAATGATAATAATAGTAAATGAAATGAAATAATTCTTGGGAAAAAAGAGATAATAAAAAGATTATTATGTAAACCAAGCACAAAAAAAGCTCAATTTTTTTGAGAGGTTTTTACTACAGGGTGCGTACGCTCACCAGAAAGAGAGAACAGAGAGACAGAAAGCAAGAAATCACCCCCCAGGGGTGATGGCCATGCTGCAGTCCCTTCTCTTCCATTCTCCTCTCGGGATCTTGGGCACGTATGCACATGCGCCCGGCATGAGTTTAAGCCACCGGGTCTGGGACTTGAACTGCAGTTAACTACATGGGAGTCTAGTGATGTAGACATTGCGCCAACTGCTGGTCTCCAAAAAAGCTAATTTACAGGTTCCTTTTATATGTTACTGTTGGCAAGCCTAAGCAGTATTTCTGAAAGTATTGACAAGTTTCTTAGATTCCTATTTTTGCATTTCATTTATTAAAGTATTGCATAACTGGCCAGCAGGTGGCGGAATGGTTACATCACTGAACTCCCACATAATTGACTACAGTTCAAGTCCTGGACTTGGCGGCTTAAAACTCGCCAGGTGTGTGTGCATGTGTGCCCAAAATCCCAAGAGAAGACTGGAGGAGAAGGGACTATGG